TTATAAAAAGATAAGCAACAATATTTTTTGAAAATTACTTAATTTTAAGCTCAGCAGTGATTTAAGAAAAGTGATTAGTGTAAGCTGTAAAAACTTGTTTCATATTTAATGTAAAATGAATAAAGTTGATATTATTAAAGATATTAAATTATAAAAACTCAGAATGAGCAAATTTCAGGAAACGGTTTCTCGATTGTTGATTGGGAAGGTCGACTCCAATGAAATCTCTTTACAGTAATACGCGTGGGTGTGATATAATTAGGCCAAGTTGATCAGGCAACTGAATTTTAATATACAGCATGGCCTTGTCGTACATACATAACCTATTGTTTTATCTCTTTGTTATTAGCTATGCTAAATCATTCTCAGCGATCCGTCATCTGCTGTATTGTATACAACTGTTATAAAAATATAGTATTTTGAAATCGATATTACATTTAAGTGAGTAATAAAGCCATTGTTGAAAGATTATCCTGTTACATTTTATAAAAAACCAAAATAGCACCTTTAACAAACTTGTTATAACTATTAAATAATGTCGATATCGTATTTATATCTCTTTTTTTTTTTTAATTTTCGAACCCCTGAACTCTTGAAAAATTATAAATGCTATACATATTGTGTTTATATATAACTCAGCCATACGTTGTCGATGAAAAAATATATTAAAACAACAAAATCAGTAGTTTTAAGACTGGTTGACAGTCAGCACGTGTTTCACATTTTCTGGTGTCGAAAATTACTAAGTATCGGTTGTCAATTAGACACTGACTTGAGTGACCATTGTAACGATACTGGGATCGTTATGACAATCTAATTAAACCGGTTCGACAACGATATCGGTATACTTCGCTTGGGGCGTAGCATATTTAAAGGCATTATTGAGCCGACGGCAAAACGTTGGCTGAAACACTTCCGGTGGAGCATGACTTCCGGTAAAACTTTGAGGTTTGTTTAATAATTAAAAAAACAAAAGCGTAGGAGTTAGTTTGGCTAAGTAAAATGCGAACTGTCCATATTTTTATTAATAAGAGTGTTCATCTTGATTGATGAAACCAAATATTCTCAATATTGTTACACACACTGTACACAACGAACAACCACGAACTGTTGGAGGTCGTTGTTTATGTTACACGGATAATTTAGATTAGCCTATCAAACAAATCATAAGTAAGTGTGCCAGGGATGGTCTACAAAACTAACAACATGAACTAATTTACTATCTGTGACAATAAAACACTCAGAAACACCCGTGAAGAAGTTCCACTCCGTTCGCGGGATTGTAATTCAGTGTTGATTGAGTTATGTTGTCTTTTGAAAGTTTTGTACATCTTGTTAGCGGTTTTTTTACAAGGTATGCCATATTTATGAATGTCTCTAGATACATTCCGGAATCCTTATCGTTTCCGGGCGTTCGGAATCCACACCCCCTAGCTGTCGTGGAGGTACTAAGTCACGTCAAAGTTTAAAGTACACCAACAACAGCCTTGGACCAGATAAAGTACATTCTGCAGCCCATGTACACCAAAATGCTGCCTCGCTTGGCCTTTGACCCGGTTTCGACTAACCAGTACTCCCAAAACAGTGATAGAAAATGATACAGTCTGGTGCAAGAAATCAAACGGTGCATTCCACACTATAAGTACTTTGTTAACGCCGGGTTTCGCGGCCCTTGATGGACCGCAGACGGCCTGCAAAGGGTCACGGGTCACCTCCGGGTTGTGACGTCACTCGCCAAATTTCCACTGAAGTATTGATTCAATTCGCGCCCAAATCGCTTTATAATAGTTGCGAGTTAAACAGCTATTCGTTTCTACATCAACACTAAGGTTGTGCCTTTTAATCTATAAATAGGTCACGTTTAGATTTCGGTAACCGTGACGAAAAGTACCTTAACATGTACTTAAGTAAACGTTTACTGAAGACCAAAGATGTAGTGATACGTATCTATAAATAGATACAGAAACTAACACTTCATCAAAGGCGTACCTAAATAGCAACTGACCCAAAGTTAGACAAAAAAACAAAGACGAAAACATATAAGAAACAATTTAAAAGAATATCATATTTTCAAACAGAAAGTATCTTGCAACTTTAAAATAGATGTAAAAACAAATAAAACAGTCACAGCAATAGATTTTGAAACAACTAAACCACAGACGTACATACTTTTGTTTAATATATGTCTGGTCCAACCTGATCTATTCTCACTTCTGTAGTCAGGGAGACGAAATCCGTTTAAACGAAAAATACAAAAATCCCATCATTATCATTGCGACGCTGTGTGGGTAAGATCAAATCCGTTTAGCGTTTTGTGTTTTGAAGAAAATAGATAAACAACGAAAAGACCAACAACAACTAGCCCTTTGCGTTGCTGCATATCAATTGGTCCAGATGCTTAAACGGATCTTCAAATCTATATTGAAAGAAAATCCTACTCAAATTCAGATTGAGATTAATTCTATTATCACAAAAAGCAACTCAATGGTATTGAGAAATAACACAACAGATAAATCACCATGGCCCTAAATGACCACAGTTGTCGATGGGCCGTTAAACACAAACAAACAAACAAACAAACAAACAAACATATAATGCTTGTACACCAGTTGGATTGCACAATAAACAATGTAAACACATATATATTATATATATATATATATATATGTGTGTTTACATTGTACCCCATTTGGCGGAGTTATGGCCACTTGAATAACGAAAACGTAAATATCTGCTGGGTTTTGTTTCTGTGCAATAACTACGACAAAATGTTAACCGATTTTCCTCAAACTTGGTCAAAGCGTTAAATGCCTTCAAGGCTCGGCCAAGCATGATGACCTTTATATATATATATATATATATATAAATATTTAATCTAGTCTGAAGAATCTCCTAAGGAGATGAAAGTACTAAAGACTCGTTGTTGAGAATTTTTCTTTTTATAATACATATATTTACATACACTTCAAGGCTTATCATATAGAAAGACACATTCTACCATTTACGCATTTAATAAAATTAAAGAGATTTCTTTTTTCTTTTTGTTTGTTTTCGTTTTTTCTCTCTCTTTTTTCATTTGAACTATTCATTCAAGAAGAATATTTCAAAAAGTTCACAAAAGTATTGAACCAAGTGGTTATTTTTATGTCGTTAGGAAGATTACACAATCTGGCATAATATCACATATTATACCTGATTTTATTGTGTTAGTTAATTTAATTATTTTGTGTTTTTTTTTATGTAAATCATTAATCAAGTTCAAGTAATAAGTTTTAATTAGTCCTATGACACAGTGTTTTAATTACATATTAAAAGTATGCACCTATATCTTTTTATTTCCAAATCTTTTTCCTGCTAACCGAATCAGAGCTAAACAGAAACCCGTTATATCTTTTTTTCCCTGATCGTTTTAAATCATATGCTTTTAAACAAATTTAAAAAAAAATTGAAAATATGAGATTCTATCATGATTTAATAAGTTATTTAGTTAATTAATATTGATAAAACCGAATCTATTTCATCTGATTTGAGAATTGAATTAACTTAATTAAACTCAGTGAATGATTGAACGGTTCAACCTGCCTCTGTTTGTCGTTCAACTTTTTAATGTGATATTCTTTATTCCGCAAAAAACACATGTATTGTGTGTGTCTTTACAAAGATACAGATATACAGATTATATTCTGACTATTCCGTCTTTGCGTATTGCAGAGTTATCTTCTCTTGGGAACAGGTATTGATTGTTACGTCACTTGTTTGTGAGAGTAACGTCATCAATTTTTGAGAAAACGACGTGATTTTCTCACACAAACCAATGATGTAACAATCAATACCTGCTCCCAAGAGAAGATAACTCTGCAGTACGCAAAGACGGAATAGGACTCGAAAATCCTCTGCTGTCAGCTCAGTACAATTTAAAACAATTATATAATATTGTGTCGTCATCATGGACACATCAATCAATAGTGATTCTATCTGACAGATTTTATAATTTGGCTGTATATTAAATGCACATATTGTCATTTAAATTTATTACGTGTGTCCTTCACTTTGAAATAAATATTCAATCAATTTTATTTCACTACAGGTGGATCAGAATCATATCGTATCGGTTGGTTTCTCATGTGATAGTCGAGGAGCAAGATTCAAATGATATTTGTCTTCCTAAAAGCATAATATATAATGAACGTGGTAATAAAAAATATGTGAATGTACAAAATTAATATGTAAAAAAAACTATTTCCCGGACTTGTACGTATTACTATGTTGCAAGGAGTGTATAAGTCATACACAAAACAAGTCTTATATTGAATATTATATGACGTCCAAGACGTCACCGAAGACGAAAACTATTTCAACACTTAAGTCTGTTTTTTTAAGAAAACATTTTATAGATCTCCTTTCGGTGGATAGCTTAACCAGTAATGTACATTCAGGTTTGTATTACCGTGTAACAATCTGTAGCCTCGTGTTGGTAGGTTGCTGTTGAGCGAGGCATTACTTGAGAGGAAATTGATACTTTGTATTGTATTGATACAAGGCCAATGCATTTACCTACATGTACTTAAACGTATAATATAGTTTATATATCAATTAACGGCCAGGATATGTGTTACGCATAAAGAGCGGTCGTCGTCGTAAAATTGGGGAAGATCGACTTCTAAATCAGCGTTACGTCACCTCACCTCAATACCGTCCAACTCAGCTCAAGCTTGTGACACATGGAACATCCACAGACGTTTGTGATCATAATTTGCCAAACAAAAGTTATGTGTGATAATTGAATTGAATTAAAGGAATGTATAGACTGATGGGCCTTGGATTTGTCTGGTCAAAGCTGTCGTTAAACACCATTCGACGTGCCCCGGGGACTACACTGTTATGGCGTTTTAAAGTGACGGAAATTTTTACGACTCCGCGACCCGAGGCTACAACGATTATTAAGTTGTAAAAAAGCCGTTGCCTTTGTTCCTTACTCCGATCCGAATTCTTCATTTCAGAAATATAACTTCTAAGGCAATTGCGAAAATTGAGCTCTTCTCATATCCACTGGACCACGGACACCGCCGTTAGGGAACACAGTCGCTCCATTAGCCCATCCGTCTGACCGTCGGACAAATCACTCCAGACATTGGATTACGTTGATCTAAGGCGGTAAGTGTTACTTTCTCTAGTTTGTAGATTTCTGTTACATTCTATCGTTTCTGTCCTTATCTGCCCGTTCTTCTTTCGGTCTATCCTACTATCTGCCGTCACCAACAATCCGTAGCCGTCCAGTTTTAAAGTGTTTTTGTAGAATCAACTATAAAAAGCAAGTCTAGTGCTTTTATGCTTGACACAATGATAACCAAACGTTTTTAATATTTTGCAATAATATATACTCACATTGTTGTATGATCTTACATTATTGTTTATAATATGTCTCATGCATCTGTCGTTCCCATGAACTTCCTTCTTATTTCTTCTTCGTTTCTTTCTGTTTTCCCCCCCAATTGTTTGCAAAGCAACCATTTGTATAGTTGTGCAATTGTTGAGTAGAGAACTTGTATACATTCGCTTAACCTTTGCCCAATCCTATTGTTTAATATATACGAAGCAATAGATTTTATTTAGCCTAAACTAAGGTAAACAATGGTGCTGTACTATATATAGTAAGTGTTGCGTACACCACGCTAATTGACCACTAGTGATACGGTTTGTGTCAGGTAAGTATGTCATTACACAAAGGACATACAGTTGTGGGATCGCACAACGTTACACGATGTGCGGTGTGCGCACGATGTGTGCACGGTGTGTGAACGGTGTGTGCACGATGGGCGAACGATAAAAAGCTGGACGATCATTGCTTGCGCACATATGTGCGCACGATGGACGGACGTTGTGCGATAACAATCGTGGTTGGTGTAAATTAAGGAATGCCTCAACAATTTATACGGTTTCATGTTTAAACATAAAAACGTGATATTTACGTATGTTTCTATATTCTAGCAACATCTATAAACTTATCTTTCTGTCTATACATTCTTATATTTAGAAATTGTGTTTTCTGTGTTTTTAAACAAACTTAATCGACACATGTAAAATTCTGTATCTATATGTATAAAACACACAGGAAATGTGAGATTTTTGCATCTTGTTGTTTCCAACACTCTTTAACCTCAAACATATTTTTTTGCAAAAGGTACGATATGCATTGTTCCAAAATTTTTCCAACTTATTAATGCTCGCTCCAAATTGTACCAAGGACAACGTAATATAGTGTACTCAGAAGTAGCTGTTTCGGAGAGATTTGATATTTATATTGGGAAGGTAACTCAATATTGTTTTGATAATTGGATAATACAAACGCAACAACGTATTATAAAACATTTGTCTATCTCATTCTGACTTTTTAACTTGATTTAAAACATCTTGCATTATATTTCATCAAACGGCATATATATACCATTCTAACGTATTATAAAATTCACATTAGAATTCCAAAAGTTTATTGAATTCAATTTCATGTGCATTCATTTTGTTTTCGTTTAAATATTAATCACAATGTTTGAAAAAATGTCGAAGCAGAATAAAACCGGCGTATTCTCTGCCATCCTAAAATTTAACCGCCTTGTTCTCGGTGTCCTGCAATCGCGTTTTCACGGTAAACATGTTTACCAAGCTACGATTTATAGAGAGACGCGTCGACAATGTTTTTTACTCGTCCTCCATGTCTCCAAGGTATGCCGGCTCTCCTCCACGCCAGTATAGTATGCATCTAAATCAATAGCTAATAATCGCTTACCCGCACAAAGCTAAAATTGGTATTATTACAGGTTTTTATATATATATATTAGTCCATTTATCCGGTATTTACAATAAAACGGGTTTTAATCATGTCATTATTCCGGAATTATCGTTTCCAATGCGGGCAGGTCAGGGCTCCTTTCTTTATATAATTGTTATTGTTGCGAGGAGTTCAGAATTGAAATTCGAAATTGCCACTTTAGAAAATTTTATTTTCGTTTTAAAATTTGAAAATGAATTCTTTAAATGAAACAGGCGTTAAGGATACGGGCTAGACATGGCTATGAGTACATTGACCATATGCATACACAAACGGAACCTTCAATATCCTGATTCTACATCTCTCGCCTCCTTTTAATTTCTGTCTGCTTGATACATTAAATGTCGCCACACTGGGGTATATTTGATATCTCACAGAATCCTACGGACAAGTTCTAATTTTTAAATAAATGTAGATTTCCGGAAAACGATTGCGCACATTTCAATAATTAAAAATACCAGTTATCAGTTTGTTTTAAAAATTGTCATAGCCGACACGCAGATCTACGAAATGAGTATGACTGTTGTACTAAACGAATAAGGATATTGGTTTACAAGAACTTTGACTATTATCTTTCCGTGAAATTAAGAACTGAAATAAAAAAACCATAACCATAGCATTTAAAAATATCTGTTGTGTGGTCGGGTGGCACATTGGATAACGTACTCGCCTTTCTCCAAGGAGGCCGTGGTTCGATTCCCTGATCGGACGTAAAATGGTATGGGGGTCACCTGCCCGATCACATGGGTTTTCTCCGGGTACTCCGGCTTCCTCCCACATCAAGTCCCCACGCACGCGCGCAACCATCCGCGCCAACAAAAGTGATTGATATAAGTTAAAATAACTTGTTTCATAATTTTTGTAAACTTAACTTGTTTCATTGTTTCTGTAAAACAAATCAAGTTTATATCAAAATATGTTAAGTCAATGTTTCATATATAATGAAAAACTTTATCACTTATCATGTTTTGAAAATATATATGTTAAGAATGCAAGAAGTGTTATCAAGAATTGATACGAGCGTTTTTATCTTAAACAGTTCTACAGACGCCTGTTTTTGTTACTTTTCTGTCTATGTTATTTTGCAGTCCTCTGATATTTAAGAGTGCGTTAAATTACAGTTGTCGTAACAATCTATAGTGTTATGATTGCAACATAAATATGCAGTGTAAGAAGAATTTAGCGGATGAGAAGGAGTATTGGAAATTTTGCAAAATGAACAAAATAAATAGAATTTACACAGATACATTCCTGGGAAATCAAATTTGTAGGTTTCTGGTGGAACACACAGTGCTGATTTAATTGTAGCACCTGTGTTTAAGTGACTTTGATTTGAGGGAATGGTGCTAATTGAGCGGAGTTATAACAAGTTCTACAGGCGATAACTGGATTAGTAGGATTGTGCACGTGTAGATTACAACGCGAACACGTAAGGATTTTCTGCTGGTCCCACATATTTCTGAGAGAACAGTTTGAACTAGTTAGGCGGAGAGGGAGTGTCTTGGGAGGGGGTAAACAAACCACCACGGCCGCTTTAAATCCGGTGTTTGGCTGATTGTCCCAGATATCATGCTAAATTTTGATTGTTAATCTCAGCAATGATTGACCGAAGGGATTAGAGAGGATGTAATGCATCAAGTAGGCGTATTACATTTATACATACCCGACAGCGCCCACATAACAGTTTACCATAATACACTACAGAGATTAGAGAGAAGGCTTACAGTGTGTGTATTACATACCCGACAGCGCCGACATCACAGTTTACCATAATACACTACAGAGATATTACATACCCGACAGCGCCCACATAACAGTTTACCATAATACACTACAGAGATTAGAGGGAAGGGTTACATTGTGTGTATTACATACCCGACAGCGCCGACATCACAGTTTACCACAATACACTAGAGAGATTAGAGGGAAAGCTTACAGTGTGTGTATTACATACCCGACAGCGCCGACATAACAGTTTAACATAATATACTACGGAGATTAGAGGGAAGGCTTACAGTGTGTGTATTACAGACCCAACAGCGCCGACAAAACAGTTTAACATAATATACTAGAGAGATTAGAGGGAAGGCTCACAGTGTGTGTATTACATACCCGACAGCCCCGACATAACAGTTTACCATAATACACTAGAGAGATTAGAGGGAAGGCTTACAGTGTGTGTATTACATACCCGACAGCGCCGACAAAACAGTTTAACATAATATACTAGAGAGATTAGAGGGAAGGCTCACAGTGTGTGTATTACATACCCGACAGCGCCGACATAAAAGTTTAACATAATATACTACAGAGATTAGAGGGAAGTCTTACAGTGTATGTATTACATACCCGACAGCGCCGACAAAGCAGTTTAACATAATATACTAGAGAGATTACAGGGAAGGCTTACAGTGTGTGTATTACAGACCCAACAGCGCCGACAAAACAGTTTAACATAATATACTAGAGAGATTACAGGGAAGGCTTACAGTGTGTGTATTACAGACCCAACAGCGCCGACAAAACAGTTTAACATAATATACTAGAGAGATTACAGGGAAGGCTTACAGTGTGTGTATTACAGACCCAACAGCGCCGACAAAACAGTTTAACATAATATACTAGAGAGATTACAGGGAAGGCTTACAGTGTGTGTATTACAGACCCAACAGCGCCGACAAAACAGTTTAACATAATATACTAGAGAGATTACAGGGAAGGCTTACAGTGTGTGTATTACAGACCCAACAGCGCCGACAAAACAGTTTAACATAATATACCAGAGAGATTAGAGGGAAGGCTTACAGTGTGTGCATTACATACCCGACAGCGCCGACAAAACAGTTTACCATAATACACTAGAGAGATTAGAGGGAAGGCTTACAGTGTGTGTATTCCATACCCGACAGCGCCGACATAACAGTTTAACATAATACACTACAGAGATTAGAGGGAAGGCTTACGGTGTATGTATTACATGCCCGACAGCGCCGACATAACAGTTTAACATTATATACTACAGAGATTAGAGGGAAGGCTTACAGTGTGTGCATTACATACCCGACAGCGCCGACAAAACAGTTTAACATAATATACCAGAGAGATTAGAGGGAAGGCTTACAGTGTGTGCATTACATACCCGACAGCGCCGACAAAACAGTTTACCATAATATACTAGAGAGATTAGAGGGAAGGCTGACAGTGTGTGTATTACATACCCGACAGCGCAGACATAACAGTTTAACATAATATACTACAGAGATTAGAGGGAAGGCTTATAGTGTGTGTTTTACATACAAAAGATCGTATTCATATGTAATGTATTGTGCTTAATTCTAAATTCTTTTGAAACGGAAGTAGAAATTCAAATTTCGAAGATACCATTAAAAAGTCATTCTGTTTGCATAATTACATATTAATCACATATTTTTTCAATGTACTTGTATATGATTATTTTCCTTTAAAATTGCTATGAAATAACGTAAGGTCAAATCTGTACATACAATTATTACCAAATTCGTTTTTTTTTTGTCTGAAATCATTATTTTTTATACATTTTTATAACTGTTAAACTATTAATTCTAAAAAATCAGTATATTCTAATGTAATTCCTTGCTTTCACTGACAAGACAAATAACGCCCACGTGACTAGCTCTATGAAGGTTAAAAAAACGAATCAAGCTATACTTAACATGTAAATAGGTATCAATTCACCCAGCACGACCTTATCAAATTATACTGCTTATCGCCAGGCCGTATTTGACAACTGCGAACATACTCTCTCCGCGAAGCAGTTTTTGTTACAGTCTTGGCACACGCTTGAATCACGTCCTGACCTGAAGTCAACTTCATCTCGGCTCTTGAAAGAACCAATTTTGATTTGAGCTATAAATTGTCTAACGTTGCAGATACAATACCGACTTTAAAAGGTATATGTTCAAATTTAAAGGAAGTAAACTCAGACAGCATGCCGTTGCTAGTTCTCCCCCTGATTAATACATTAGGACATCCGCCGATGTGGGACCGACTCCTAAAATAGTCCACAGTAAGTGCTGTTCCATTCAAACTGTGAACATTAAGTATACATTTTTATCATTTGATGTACCAATTAATTCATTCATAAATGTCGTTTCAATTGAGAAATTCTACTCGATAAGAAGGGCCGAGAAAACATTATCGAATATTTAGAATATTTATAAGACAATACAAAAAAAGAAAAGAAATGAGACATCGAAACTGTTTTCTTTGCAGAAGAATTCCCGAAATTGCATACACGCCGTGTTTATAATGTGTTACTGTATATGAGATATTATTAATGAGACTTGGGGAACTCGGAACCATGCTTTAACCTTCGTGTGAACCTCAATGGCCACATAATTAACGTTGGCTATTTTACACATCATACAAAAGTATTCGACACGTCGAATGTAGAATTAATACAATGTGCACAACTTTATTCGAGGCATCGAATGCATCTTCGAAAAAGTATCTAACAGATATCTAAACCTCCAGGGTTGTCTTCCAAACGAGATAGATAATTAGCAATGGGTGGGGGTAATGATGAGAAACGAGAACACGTAAGCGTGTTGCACACTAGCTCAGTGAGGATTGCAGTATTTTTACATAAGACCATGTCTAGATATCTCGTAATTAATGCTCACACAAATGTAACCATGGGGATTCACGCTTAAACCTAATCATCATGAACATAACGAGGGTTAAACCTCCAATAATTTTCAGTAATCTTTATAGACACATACTTACCCCTAATCAATCTAACCGTCTACGTATATTCAAATACGAAATGTGTAAACGTTTTTTTTATATTCCGTTACACGATACCTGTCTTATTATCTATAACGGGAAACGTATTCAACTTTTTTGTTCGGATCAGAAAGTCTGTTAAATTTTTCGCAACATGTCAACGCACAGTGTTTAATTGTCCGTTGCACGATGTCTGTCTTATTATCCGTAACAATAATATATCGTCCGTAACACAATGTCTGTCTTATTATCCGTAACATGTAAACGAACAATATCTTATCGTCCGTAACATGATGTCTGTCTTATTATCCGTAACAATGTTATATCGTCCGTAACTCAATGTCTATCTTATTATCTGTAACGTTTAAACATGCAATGTTTTATTTTCCAGATCACAATGTCTGTCTTATTAGTATCAGTAACAATGTTATATCGTCCGTAACACAATGTCTGTCTTATTATCTGTAACGTTTAAACATGCAATGTTTTATTTTCCAGATCACAATGTCTGTCTTACTAGTATCTGTAGCGTGCAAACTCACACGATTTCTGTCTCAACGAATTCGCACTCAGTTCTACAGAAGGTCCGTGACCCGTTCAAACTTAAATCTAATGATCCATCGACTTCTCCAAACTCAACTGAATAATCCGTGAAGGTCCGTGACCCGTTCAAACTTAAATCTAGTGATCCACTGACCTCTCCAAACTCAACTGAATATTCCGTAACTCTTCACACTTTATTGTAATGATCCATACACTTTTTGCAATTTACTCCAATGTTCAAACTCTAATCAGTAAGATGTTTACACACAACTCCAGTCAGTAACATGTTCACACATACCTCCACTCAGAAACATGTTCACAGACAACTCCACTGAGAAACATGCTCACAAACAACTCCAATCAGTTACATGTTCACACACACCTCTAATCAGTAGCATTTGCACACACAACGCCAGTCCGTCACATGTTCACACACCACTTCAATCAGTAATATGTCCACACACAACTCCACTGAGAAACATGCTCACAAACAACTCCAATCAGTTACATGTTCACACACACCTCTAATCAGTAGCATTTTCACGCACAACTCCAGGCAGTAACATGTTCACACACGACTTCAATCAGTAATATGTCCACACACAACTCCACTCAGAAACATGTTCACCCACAACTCCACTGAGAAACATGTTTACAAACAACTCCAATCAGTTACATGTTCACACACAACTCCAGTCGGTAACATGTTCACACACAAATCCACTGAGAAACATGTTCCCAAACAACTCCAATCAGTTACATGTTCACACACAACTCCAGTCGGTAACATGTTCACACACAAATCCGCTCAGTTACATGTCCGCACACAACTCCACTGAGAAACATGCTCACAAACAACTCCAATCAGTTACATGTTCACACACAACTCCACTGAGAAACATGTTCACAAACAACCCCAATCAGTTACATGTTCACACACAACTCTAGTCAGTAACATGTTCACACCTAACTCCACTCAGAAACATGTTCACACACAAATCCACTGAGAAACATGTTCCCAAACAACTCCAATCAGTTACATGTTCACACACAACTCTACTGAGAAACATGTTCACAAACATCTCCAATCAGTTACATGTTCACACACAACTCCACTCAGAAACATGTTCACACACAAATCCGCTCAGTTACATGTTCGCACACAACTCCAATGATCCATAACTGTTCACACACAACTCATACGATCCGTAAATGTTCACACACAACTCCAATGATCCATAACTGTTCACACACAACTCCAGTCAGTAACATGTTCACCCATACCTCCACCCAGAAACATGTTCACACACAAATCCAATGATCCATAACTCTTCACACACAACTCCAATAAGCCGTAACTGTTCACACACGACTCCAATGATCCGTACCTGTTCTCTCACAACTCCAATGATCCGTACCTGTTCACACACAACTAATCCGATCCGTAACTGTTCACACACAACTCAAGTCAGCAACATGTTCACACACAAATCCAATGATCCATAACTGTTCACACACAACTCCAATGATCCGTAACTGTTCACACACAACTCATACGATCCGTAACTAATCACACACAACTCAAATGATCCATAACTGTTCACACACAACTCCAATGATCCGTTACTGTTCACACACAACTCATACGATCCGTAACTGTTCACACACAACTCCAATGATCCGTAACTGTTCACACACAACTCCAATGATCCGTTACTGTTCACACACAACTCATACGATCCGTAACTGTTCACACACGACTCCAATGATCCGTAACTGTTCACACACAACTCCAATGATCCGTAACTGCTCACACTCGACTCAATGGTCCGTAATCTGTTTACACTCACCTCTAATGTTTCATAATATTTTCACACTCCAATTATCAATAACTTGTTCACAATCAACTCCGATAACCCGTAAAATGTTCACACTCAACACGAATGAAGCGTTACATTTTCATTTTCAACAACAATTATACGTAACGTGCTCATACTCAACTTTAACAGTCCGCTACGTATTAAAGTAATACTTATAATTATCCGGAAAACCGGGACCCCGTTCTTCTAAAGATCCGTAACATGTTCACACTCAGTTCCAATGATCCGTAACATGTTCATGTTAAACTCCAATGTTCCCTGACGTGTGAACATGCACATGCAGTGATCCGTGACTTGTAAACACGTACCCGCCTGTACCCGTTGGCTGGTGTAGTGTGTATACATTGTCCCACTCTTAGATCTTTACACACTCCCGCTTGAGTCTACACCTGTCCTCGCGCACCCTAGCCGCAGTCTCGCGCATGTCAGCCTCTCGGACAGGCACGGTATAGGGAAAGTTCCGATGGTGGCCCAACTTTTGGTCTCTTTGAACAATGCTTCACAAAATGTGTAGGGAATCCACAATGGGCTACACAAACAAAGTAAAGTGTACCGGGATGTTCTCCGGAGGCGATGAGTTACTGGAACGAGGGGTGCAGTGTGCTCAGTGTTAGAGCTCCGTCAGATATGTTACCGGCACAATCTTTTACACTTATTCTCCTTTTATTTTCAGCATTTTGCAACAGCAAAGGGACTACAGGAAAGCCTTCTGAAGGATTTCTTATACTGCCGTGAGTTTTTGGGATTTAATCAGACACCCGGATTCCTGAATTGTGAAGATGTGTTTTGTGTGTGTTGTGATGGTGTCTGTCTGATTGGACGTTACATTTCCCTGTGTCCGTCCTAATGTCCGCGCTGTGACACGTGACAGGATGATACTAGGGCAGTGGATCAACTGCATCCTGCTGCTGTTCCTGGTCTGGGCAGACTGTGGCCTATCGGTCAAGTGGCTGTGAGTATTCTATATTGATCTATTCATCACCTCCAACAGGTTTCATATCAGTCTATTGATCGGCAGAATCAATATTTATATTGATTTTCTGAATATCAATACAAGTTTACTTTAAATTTAAATCAACAAATGAAAAAAAGGAATGAAAACGGATACATATAAAAATGCGTGAGAGTAAATAATGTGTATCTCTATGTAAATATAGACACACCATTTCTCTTTATCAACCCAGAGTACTACTTATCTGAAATCTGTTCTGTTGTTTGAAAAATGATACGAACAGGAAAAAAATAAGAAAAAGAAATACCCCATAGTCATATTAGGATTTGGGTGACAGCGGAGAAAATATATTTCTATTTAAAACAGGAGGCACGCCATTTCTCATCAATCCCTTTATCAAAATAGATAATTTTGATTGAACTTTTTTAAGTAGAGCGCTGGTAGTAAAGAGCTTGTATCTCTATATGAAGTAAAACCGTGATCAACGATTTCCGCTCTGATTTTAGTAGCAATTGTTTAATGAGTGAGATAGTATAGCTCTAATTTATCATAAAAAAACCTACAGGCAATTCATGTACATGTACACTATCAATCTACGTCATCACATCTACATGCAACTTCTGGCATGGAAATACCAACAACTCTGACTTCTGTATAAATATGATATTTTATTAAGAAAAAATGATATCAGTTTTGATAAGGTCGATACAAGAAATGTCCGTATGCGTCATACATGATCATTTAATAGACATTTATCATTAGCTATGCATTTTTGACAATTAACATTTTAAATGTGACATGTTCCTGTCGAAATCATTATCATCAAATTGAATATATAAATAATATGAATTTAAATCACTGTACAATAATAAATCGATGGAAAATCAAACACATGACAGCGCTGAAAAAAATAACTTATAAATTCATAATGTATGTATACATGTGTATAATTTCTGATAGCTCTTCCGCTAAAACAGGTGCAGCCAGGCAAAACAAGGTTAATTCAGTCAATAATGCATTAATTCTGTTCGGTCGGAGATATCTTTCACTGAAATACAGGTGTCGCTGACATATCATCCTTCAGTTAAACTCATTTGTGCACAATCGAACAACTTTAAATCATTTTTTTCATCACATCACCTATTTATTAATTAGACTTGTTAATTGAGGTCGAAATAGTGTTTATAACATGGTGTAATAGACTCATGTTTAATAGACGTATATACCGTAACGTCATCCTTACACGGTATACCAGTAATACCGAGCTAATTCTTAATTAACCTCAAGTCTTTTTTATTTTATTTATACCGGTACTGACAAGTATTACAAAATAGTATTACAAAATATGTTCAAATGACTAAAATAGGAAACCTCGCATGACACTATGTACCAGAGAATAAATAACATTTTAAATTTCTAACCTTCACATATTTGCGGCTAACAAAAATGTTTTAGTATTGCAGTTTCCTTCCAGATAACAACTATTGAGGTATGTTGTGTCTAAAATAAAATATTTTATTTTAACAATGTGCCCAGGACAAGCTTTTAAAAAAGATATGAATCCATCCTCTGTATCCTTCAAATAACACCTGGTACAAGTCCTTGGCCCTATCAATATTTCACCGCGGTTCCTTTTTTCAATTTTTACACAGAAATGACCTATTATCATATCATAGGAAACACGTGTAGAACGATTTGTCATAATCACCTCGCTATGAACGCACTAATGGCGGACTTTCTATTCGGGTTACATCCGATATTTATATTCTGGATGTAGACAATTCTCCCCACTCATACAAAACATGTATAAAAATATTAATATACAGTGTATGTATATATATATAAAAATTTAGCCAGTACGGACTGGTGTTAATAGCATTCAACGAAATATACTTTGTTCCCCTATGTCTTTACATCTCAGATATAACATATATCTCCAACACAGAGGCGGCTATTCCTTTGATCAGACGCATTCATCTGTTTGCCATTAAACCTAAGGTTTGTTATATACATGGTACATTTGCAGAGAGGTTAGATTTAATTCAAACATGCTTATGAAATATCGGCTAAGGTCGACACATAACACCCCGTACCACATACACTTGCCGTGCTGGTGGGGGTATTTATTTCTCACTCAAATCAAAGCCACTTTTGTGAGGACCGTTAAATAGAATTAACACTCATTAATGATATTTAATATCTATCTTTCTAACTCTGAGTCATGTTAATGTTACCATTTGTAATGATGATAAAGCGGGGATGGGTTTCGGGTGTAAATTGGTACCGATTACAGCTGTCTCAATACACATGGACGTTATTGGGTTGGCTTCTTGTTTTTTTAAACATCTTTACTAAGATTTTACCCTAATTTCCCCATAGGTAATCACTAGTACTAATACCAGTCTCACACCGTACGGGGACCAGTATGCACAGGCAAAATTCCCTCTCACAACTCTCTAAATGTAGGACTTCAGTTTGTAGGGGAACAGGGGTCCTGTAGGATGACACTTTTGTAGGTTAATAATGGTCCTGTAGGATTTTACTTGAGTGTGTAGGTTAAATTAATAACGGCCAATTAATAATAGTCCTTTAGGATTTTACTTAAGATTGTAGACGAATTAGGGCCCTGTAGGATGTGGCTTTAGTTTGTTGGCGAATCGCTTCTCCTTTTAAAAGAAGTATATTCATAGTTGAACATATTGAACGGTCTAAGGCTACTTCTGATTGTTTGGGTGTAAGATCTTTGTTCATTCGCAATTATTTCTTTGTGTGAGAGATGGAAAGCAGTATATGTGGGAAATGCATTGATACAATAGGCATTTATCATGGTTCACGAAGGAATCGTACTGCATATGTAAGTGCTGTTGTCATATATTGATAAGATCGAAGAATTTGCTAATGTGTGTGATTGCTTGTCCGGCAAATATTTTCCATGTTTGTGAGTGAGAGCCAATTTGTTATGACACCATACGAAACTCAAATGTAGCCTTAGAAAGGTTTAGGTCATTCTTCTCGGCTCATTCTTCTCGGCTTTTAACGAGGTTACCGACTGCTATTTGATTTGTAACGAAATCACGTTATACCTACATATGAAGTCAACGAATTGGTGTGAGAATAGGTGACATTAGCGCACTATTTATGTAGCTCTAGAGGGTTTGGATTATTAGGCTTAGCCCACGTTTGGTAATGGTATAGGGTGTGTGGATTTGCCTATCAACGAAAGCATCGAATGGTTGTTATTTTCCAGATCCAGAACACAATGAGTTATTGTTTTGGTGATTGTGCATGGTACATTTGGAATATAACAGAGATTAGAGTATATATTCGGGGGAGGTCTGTTACATGTGTCTGTTCGGTAACGATTCTCCTTTTGGGCTCTTGTTGGGTATATTCAAGAGCTTTGCATGTGTATATTCGGGAGCTTGTATGGGGATATTCGAGAGCATTGTAGAGATGGGATCCTGATGATGGAGCTTGGAGAGTACTGGAAAGCTCGTCCCGGTCTGAACGTCCCTGTCTCAGCCGGTAGATAAGCATGTAACAAGATATACTCAATTAAACACTTATATCGGCGCTAGTGTTGTGTAGCTGTTTATTACGTGTACATGTTGTTTCTATGTCTGGCCACAGACGTGACGGTATTCCATATTACTGTCAACAGACTTACGTGTTAATCAGGGGTACGACCGTGCTTCTCACGCATTCTGTCCTCGCCATTGTCATCCCGGCCCTAAAAACGAGCTGGCTAGGGCTGCTACACAGAACTCTCTCAGCGGCCTAGATTTACTCAGTAGCTTCCGTATTGTAAATAAAGTGCATATTCATTGCAATGTAAAGTCTATGTTTTGTACTATAAAATGTATATAAATTGTAATATAAAGTATACATATTGAAGTATAAAGTATGTCTACATTTTAACATAATGTATACGAATTGTAGTATAATGTATGTATTCGTATTGTAGTTAAGGTATATATACATTGTAATATAAAGTATACGTATTGTAATAAAGTAGGTGAACATTTTAATATGAAGTATACTTTGTATAAGGTATGAATACATTGTTATCTAAAGTATACGTATTATAGTATAAAATGTATATACATTTGTGCATTGTAATATAAGTGTATATATTTAAATCGTAATATAAATTATACAAACACATGTAATACATAGTATATGGACATTAAAATATAAAGTACTTAATACATTGTTTATGGAGTGTTAACAAATTGTCACGTCATTATTTCAGTATTATATAAATTATTCAAAATATGAACATAACTATAAAATACTTTTCGCTCTGCTCTTAAAATAAAAACAAAATCCTGCATAATTTCGCCTCATGACGCTCTGGTTTAACCGTTGGAACCATGCTTCCATGTAGTAATCCTAATATAAATACATGATAATACAAAACATTACCTTGTAGGCGTGTTAAGAGACATCATACGGTGAAGTATTACGTAGTAGGCCTACAATAAAGACATTAAGGAATAGACATATGATTATGGTAAGTAATTATATGTATATAAAAATATCATCTGTTACACTTTCATCTGATTAAATGATTTCCATTGCATATTTTATATAACTTGCTATGTTCGTCAAATACTTCAATTGGATAACAAATACATCATTCATTATATGAAACCCACACAGAATAGATTAGCTAAACATGGCATGGATGAACATTATAATTCAGATTAATTCCTGTAAGGTATAGATAGGGCGATGCATAAATGGATTGTAATAAAATTAAAACGACACAAAATTTGTCCGTTTGATTTAATGGTTAAACGATTTATTGTCATGCAGAATTTCTTAACACCTGTTTAAAAAGATTCTGCTTATATAAACTTGTAGATGTGTCGACGATCAGACATTATAAACAAAAAATACGGAATTTATGGTATTACAACTCAGACATTTTAAACAAACGATATATTTTCAGTATTTCTCTCGAGACATTATAAATAAGTATTTGATATTTTTTTCAT